TGACCAATTGAAGCAATATCCTCCAAAGAAACCTCATCCACAGCCTTCAAGAGTTGGCTCAGTTTCCTAACAAGACAATATATTTCCATGAAGAGAATACCAGAAGCAGACTTCTTTCAAGCAGTTTATGCAAAGTATAAAACATGTAAGCAGCAAATGGTATCGAATCCATTTGAAAATGTGCGTGTATGAGAGGGAGAAGAGTAGTGAGTAGTGATATGACAATCCTTTCATCAGAGAAAAACAACTAACAAGCAAGGTTCACATCTGACACAAAGTTCATCACAAACATATATGGGCATGAGAAAGGCCATACCAGTCATTGTACGTCAGAATTTGCCTCCCAAGATCATCTGCAACAACCATCTACAGAACGCAAATCAAAAGTAAGCAAATAAAATAACATTTATAAAAATCTCGACACCAAGATACACAGATCCTAGAAGTATAAATCAAGTATGAAGTTATTGTTACGAAATTCACTGATTGTTTACGTACTCTGGATTCCAAATTCATAAGAATGGAGGACTTTGTTGACTTTTTAGCACGATCTAGCTGTACCTGGTCCACTGTGTATAAGAGAAAATAACATGTCAGTGACTGTTTCCAATTTTCAAGTAAAGCAAGGAGATTAAGAATCAAAGGAAGCCAAGATAACCTTCTCCAGGTGTTGCAATCGCAATAAGCTCATTAGCTGCTATATCAATGGCTTTTGTGACAAAATCTGAACCCTGAAATCCAGATATGGCTCCTAAATTATTTACACATATATCTAGAAACTAAATTTTCCTATTTCACATTTCACATGACATAGAGTAGTTACTTACAGTGGCAGCTTGGATGCCAAAAATGCCAGTATTGTTGTAGATGCTACTGAATGCTGAAATGGAATGTAATTCTAAATGTTGATTTAACACACGAGAATCTGCAAATCACACAGCAGCACATATATTCAGATGCCAAGGTTATTTAAATCAGAAATAAATATATAAAAAAAAGAATGAACAATTCATTTATAAAAGAATGGCATAGCTGAAATATAAAGCAAAGGGATCCTACTTCCTAGTGACTTAGATGCTCCTATGCAAAATAAATGTATAAACAAGACCTCTTGAAGCATTAGTGTCTTTATTGTACTTTTTTTTTTTTTTTGCATTATTTAAATTTCTGTTTGTGTCTTTTAAACAACTTACATAGACGTGAGTGCATCCCTTTTCCAGGTCCACCAGCTGAAAAAGATCCACCTCCTCCCATTAGCACCTACAATAAACTGGATTTATTACTGCTTTCCAATTTCCAATCCTATTAAAGAGCATAGAATGAAAATTTTAAATGCATATGATAAATAAAGTAAGAAGGAAAGCGTACTACAAAAAGGTATTATAGCCTTTTTGGGGGAGGGGGAAGCACAAGGAGTTATAGTTACTATAGAAAGACAAAATCGATATAGACCTGAAGAACATTCACAATCATTGCATCCTTCTCGTTGAGCCAACCACCAGGAAGTTCAAATGCAAGAGCAAAATGAGTTTCCTGTTGCAATGCAAATCAAACTTATTGATGAACAAGAAAGAGAGGATAGAAAATTTAGATCAAACATATAAGATACGCACCCCTGAATCACCTTGACCACGGTAATCACCTCCAGTATACACAGATTTTGGCTCATTGACAGGAGGGACATTGGGGAGATCAGACAAAAGTGGTTCTGCAATTTTTAGAAGCTCCTCATGTTCAACGCCATAAGCTGCAAGTACCATTCGAGGAGCAGTATAATTTTCCTGAAATTCTCAATAAAAACATCAGTTTACTGGGAAAGATCGACTAAGAAAATAAATAACTAACAAACATAAAATAACACAATGAATAATATGCATTCAATAAACTTACAGATAAGAATTCCTCCAAAACGTTACTGTTCAGTCTACTAATTGAAGATTCTGGGGCTAAAAGTGGATTCGCCAAGCCACCCCTGTAACCAACAGAGTGAACAGCTTCCAAAACAAGGGCTTCAGGGTTTGTAGAGGCTTCACTAATATTATGTTTCACCTTCTGAAGCTGTAAAAGATGGAATACAATACCAATATTAGCCACAAATTTGGCATGGCATGTAAATTTTCAGCAGAAGAACAGCAAGACTCTGGAAATTTACCTCCTCATTGATCTCCCAGTCCAGGAAAACAGGGTTCCGAACACAGTCAATAAGAAGCTCTACCATTTCAGGAACATAAGTCTTCAGAGCATTGAAGGTGTAAGCCATCTGCTCCCGAGAAGCTGAGGCTTGCACGTTGCCACCAATTGCCTCCACCTCCCGCACAATACGCAAATGGCTTCGGTTTCTTGTGCTCTTAAAGGCCATATGCTCCAGAAGGTGAGTGGCGCCAGATGATTCCGGTGTCTCATAGACCGAACCACAATTAACATATAAACCTACTGAAGCTGCTGGTTTCTGTTTGACCAACAAAATCCAACAGTGAGCGAGTTAAAATTCTTAATCCCCCGTTTCAGGGAAACAAGAAATAGAAAAGAATAAGCACTTCCAAGGACATACCTCTGACTTCAGAGAAGCTATTTTGACACCATTTGGCAGAGTTGTAATCTTGGGTTCCACTGGTTGAACATAGTCAGGCAATGCAGGTGGGAGTTTGATGCCTGAAAGTGGAAAGTCTAGAGGAGGCATAGACCTGGACCTTCCCCCAGTCAGCCAGCCAAAAAGAACTCCAAAAGGAGAGGAGGACGGCAGCTTCGTGGCAGCATCATTCAAACTTGAAAATCTGGCCACTCCGCTATTGAATGTGCTTGTACGACCCTGATCCCCTCGTTTGAAATCAGAGAATATCAAAGTTACATTCTATGATCAGATTACCAACATACATAGAAACACACAGACAGACATACATACATTAGTTCCATTTCCATATATTTTGTATGTATTTATGTATGTTTATATGGGTTCCATATATTTTGTCCAGAAACTAAAAGACTGAACTTTTTCTTTTTGGGGTAAATTATTGAACCTCAACTTCACCAAAACTTGCACGGATTTGAATTTTACTCTTGTAGCATGTCATAAACTCTAAATTTTATTTTCAAAATTGAAATTTACTGGTCGAACGAATTGAATTTTACTATTTACGCTAAAAAATATTTGAACTTTACTATTCTAACGAATTGAATATTACTATCTTAACGTGTTGTCGTAAATTTTGAATTTTCTTTCCTACACTTTCACACAGCATCCAAGCAACCGTTACGCATTACCAAAATCCAGATTAAATCACCAAAATCAGGACGCAATCAGAGAGTTCAGAATTAAGATTTTTCAGTGACAGAGGCAGCCAAGCACTGACCTTGAGAGCCCTAAGGCGCGAAGCTGCGGTTTTGAACATGGCGATGGATGCCGATGATCACACAACCAAAATCCTAGACTGTACGGACTCCGCCTTGTCTGTGAAATTTGGAAAAAGGTGTTAGAAGAGTGGAGGAGAAGACTCCGCTGTGAGGAACTCACTGGTTAGCGCGGGTTGTGCCCCCCACGATTGGCCACCGACACACCGTGTATGGAATTTCTAGTGGGAGAACTCTGTACGGTTGAATTTGATCACAAGATTCTGGTTGAATCTTGACATCGACGGACAGAGTGGTGCCAACTCATCACGAGTGTCTGGGCATATTTGGTTTGGGCTTAAACTGAACTGGGTCAAAAGAAAAGAAAAAACAAACAATAAACTTTTTTTTTTCTTGTATAACAAGAAAAATTAAAATCAAAATCAAAATCCCACTAATTATTGTTTAATTTAAACACTAGATTTGAATGTGTCAAAATCTCTATATTTATCGAATGTGTTAAAATCTCTTAACTATGGACATCCAAATTGGTTCAAGGTAAGTGGTTATCGAATGTGTTGAAATCTCTATATTTTGTGATGTCATTTGTGTTCTTTATAGAATATCTCTCCATTCAAAGTTACGGTGCGTGTACGTTTTAAGATGAATAGTTTCCGTGACATATGGTTCCATTTCAAGTGGTTGAATAATTCTAGCAACTTATAAGCATCCAAGAATGTGAATAGATCCTTTTTAAACTAGTAGCTCATGGTGATGCTAATGTGATATGAGACACTGATATCCTTTGTCAAATTATTCTGTTTAGAATTGACCCTTTTTCTTGCAAGATTTTAAATTCTTGGGTATCATGCCAACTTGAAAGCAAATTCAGACATTTTTAGAAGCTTGAAGATGAGCAATGAAGTGGATCAAGGTGAACATAAAACAATTATAATATAAACAAGATGAGACAGAGTGAACAAGTTTATAAGGGAAAAGAATAAAATCAGTTCTCATATATGATCATGCTCATGCTGTCATCATGCAACAAGAACCAACAAATCCCTAGTATGTCAAAATCATTAAAGGGTATATATATATATATATTTTTATTCAAATCCATTATTCTCAATATATATTCCTCTTGTAATCACAAGTGACAGTAGGATTATATAAAAAATAAAAAAAATCTTCCTTCTTTCTGGTAATACAATCAGATTTAGAATATATATGCAGGAGAATGCCCATGAAATCCCTGATATGGAATGGAATATTATCAATATTCTTTATGTGGATAAGTAGTTCTAGTGGAAGTCATAGTTGCTTCTATCCCATAATTAGGGTGATCCTTTTGTTCATATTTTCACTTTTAACCAAGAAATGATTAAAAGAAAATTTGCATTTGGATAACATAAATAACAAAAAGAGAATGAATTTTTGGACAGAAAAAACAGAAAGAAAAGAGAAGAGATTATGCTAAAATCATTCATGTAGTTTACTGCATATCAGATCAATCAACTGCCATCTCTTTCCTTCTACTTGTCCTGCAGATGCTATTCTCTTCAATATTCACCTGTTCTCCTTTTCCTGCACAACAATTTGCTTCCTATTTGCAATGGCTATATACAAATAGTAGCTTGGCTCTGTCTTAATTTGTTGCAAAAACTAGAACCATGGCAACAGCAATGGGAGGCTTACATGGGCCAGTGGTTGCAGCTTCCTGGACTAAAGAATGCACCTTCCAATTGTTGTCAAATTGTTAGTTCTTCTTACTTCTCCAAGTCATATATATGATCATATTTCTAGCTTATATCACACAACGAATGTCAATAAAATTTTCTTCATTTTTTTTTCGTTCAGGCTTTCTGCAGAAACCAATTTTCACCAAGACCTCCACTGCTAAGCTCAGTTTTCCTTGCATGCCATTTATTGGGGTTGCCTTCAAGAAAACAGAAACTCATGTTGTATCTCCTAACATATCTTCACCAAGCGTGACGACGGGGTTACTTGATGCATGGGACGATGAATATGGCGGAGTCATAATGAATTCAGAGAGCCTACCCATGAGTGCAAATGCTTTTGCATCTGCTTTTCAGGCTTCTCTGTCCAACTGGAAAATTAAGGTCTAATAGATGTGAACTATATATAAAAATTCCTACCTTATTCTAACAAAAGTCTGATCTTTAAATTGAGATGCTATTATGTGCAATGCAGGGGAAAAGAGGGGTATGGCTCAAAATACTACAAGAGCAAGCTGATCTTGTCCCAATTGCAATTCAGGTAACAATTCAATTCAATTCAAGTGGTCTGATTGTCTGTTATCATCAATGATACAATCACTTTCCTAATCATTGTTTATTTTCATCAAACCATAAACTACTAATTAATCTTTTAAGTGGCAACCAATTTGTTAATACAATTTTCAAGACATCTGATTATCCTGCATTCAGGAAGGTTTCAACTATCACCATGCTGAACCAGGATTTGTTATGTTAACATACTGGATACCCAATGAGCCTTGCATGCTTCCTGCTAGCCCCTCACATCAAATTGGCATTGCAGGATTTGTGATCAATGACAAAAGAGAGGTATGTATGGCAATCATATTTACAGTTATTTTGAAGTTTATGGGACCATTTGTAAAAATTCATAAAAATTTATATCTGATGCAATTTAAATAACACAAGGTTCTTGTGGTAAAAGAGAAGTGCCCTTGTAGCTGCTCTGGTGTGTGGAAGTTGCCCACTGGTTATATCAACAAGGTTCATATTTTCTAGTCTTGATTTCTCTGCTTTTGAATTCATAATTTCCAGCAAGCCCAACAATAATGTGATCTTCTTCTTTTCTCAGTCTGAAGACATATTCTCTGGAGCTATCAGAGAAGTGAAAGAAGAAACTGGTGTAAGAATATAAATGTTCATCTTTCTGTACCATTATCATTGAATCTCACTTGTTTAATTACTTCTTACTGGTCACCCATTTCTCTGTTCACAGGTTGACACAACTTTCCTGAAAATGGTAGCTTTCAGGTAAGGCTTTCTGTTGGCACCAATCTTCCTTTTGGTTGGTTGACACAAATTTCCTATGAAATAGCCTAACTTGATCCCCTTTCTTTTTGTATGTGTAATTTCTATTTCCTTCTCCTCTGCAACTTGAAAGGCATGCACACCTGGTTGCATTTGATCAGTCAGACTTGCTCTTTGTCTGCATGCTCAAGCCATTGTCTTATGACATCACAATAGATGACAAGGAAATCCAAGCTGCTAAGGTATTATACATATAATGAAAATTTACTCACTTTCATCCAATTTTTCTTTTGTTCTCACTCCAATTTCTGATTGATTTGTTTGATCATCTTTCACAGTGGATGCCTCTTGATGAGTTTATTGCCCAGCCATATTACCAAGATGACCCCTTGTCCAAGAAAGTCATTGAGATATGCACTGCGGCTCAAGAAGATCGCTACAGTGGCTTCACTGGTCATCAGCTCAACTCAAAAATTGATGGAAAATTATCCTACTTGTATTATGATGATTTAAAAAATATTTAGAAATTTCATCTTCTATATTATTCCAAGAGGCATGCCTCCTCAATCTATATTATTACCTCACTTCCGACAACATGTGATCCTTCTAGTATTATATTAAAGGAACGACATCAAACTAAACCCATAAATTTGAATCAACAATTGATTAATGAGTACAAATAATCTAATTGTTACGTGACTCTTGATTGATTAAATCATGTACTCGTGATCCATTTTCATTGTTATCTCCTTAAAAATTAAAAATAAATATAAATAATTGTTCAACTCTTTGATAACACAGAAAACCAACTTCTATTTATCCAAGAGATGAATGTAGTTCAAAAGAGTGTTTTCGACAATGGAAGGAAGAACCCTAATCTTAATCAATCAATTTATGGGGACAATATACATTAACACCACCAGAGGGGTTAGATGGTTCTACAGAGAGCACACATTAATTAAGGCCATGGTGGCCACTGGCCATACATACAGATGGCATAAGCCCACTGATCTCTGCTGTCCATAACGTCTTTAACAATGACATAAGCATCGTCTCAGATTCGATGTGACAAATTCCTTCCCCTCCATGAAGCCTGCTTTTTTCTCCAACCATAACATCATCACTTCTCATTTTCCACACTTCTCCCCAAAATCCCTGTGAACCTCTTTGCTTTTGCTTCTCTACAAAATCACTTTTCAGCAAACGACGTGTCGTGTTCACGCAAAGACTGGCGCCCAAACTTCAACGGTCAAACGTTTCCTTTTCTTTTTCTAAATTCTAATTTACTTATCCTCCACTCCACGGCTATTAATTTCTGCCAGCCATAAAAGTAAAATTGTTAACCGTTAAAACAAAATAATTCTAGAATCTATAAATTTCCCAAAATGGTAGTTGGTTTCTTCTCCAAGTATTGAAGCTCAGGTTTTTTTCATTCATCGTCAAAAACCAATAGAGAAAGCGAAACAAACAAGTTTCATTTCATCCACCGTTTTTCTTTTTCCTTTTCTTTTTTCATTCTTTTTTCTTCTTCTTCTATATATGATTATGAATATGGTGGTTTTCTCAGTTTCTTATACCAGTCCAAACTACTTGTCGTTTTTCTCTGTTTTCCAATGGACTCAGTTTACCCTTCTTCCTCTGCAACCATTTCTCTGAAGCCTCCACGTAACTCGGATTCAAACTCGTTTTCGGGTTCCAGAAATTGGGTTCCGAGCTCTTCTGGTTCGGGTCACAAAGTCGGGTCCTTTTCTCGTTCCCTGATGGAAAAAAAGCCTCAGAAGGTTGTGGTCGGTGACGCTGGTTATGTGCTCGAAGATGTTCCTCATTTCTCTGATTACATTCCTCATCTCCCTGTACGTCGTCGTTCTCTGCCTTATCTTTTCCTTGCCCGCCAAATAAAGAAGAAAAAGACAAAACTTTTTTTTTTGGGTTTATGGATGTTTTTTGGTTGGCCTGGTTGTTTATATTTGTGAGTTCTTTATGTATATTGTGGTAATGATGGGTAGTTTTTTGATGGCCTTGTAGACCTACCCAAATCCATTGCAAGACAATCCTGCATACTCAGTCGTCAAGTAAGTTGTCTTCAGCTTTGTTATGTGTACGTCTCATTTCTCTGCACAATTGGCTAATTTATAGGAAATTGTTTTTTTCTAAAAATTTATTTTCAGGCAGTACTTTGTTAATGTGGATGATACTGTTGCCCAAAAGGTGAGCTTTTTCATATGGATAATGGATTTTCGTCCTTCATATTTCTGTTGAAGAAATTGTTCATATTGTATTTGCAGTATAAATTATGCTCAAGTATGTATTGTCCTCTCTTCTGATTTTTGTAGATTGTTGTTCACAACAATAGTCCGAGGGGCACACATTTTCGGCGCGCTGGACCACGTCAAAAGGTATGTTTTTGTGAATTTTATGAATGGAGCTTGAAATAATTAAGTACCATGGTTCTGCCAATGACTACGTTTTTCTTGTTATGCAGGTGTATTTTGAATCAGATGATGTTCATGCTTGTATTGTGACATGTGGGGGCCTGTGCCCTGGGCTCAACACAGTGATTAGGGAGATAGTTTGTGGTTTGCACCATATGTATGGTGTAAAGAAAGTTCTGGGAATTGATGTAAGCTATTGCTGCAAACTTTCATTTCCAAAATTGGTTTGAAAGTATAAGAAATGAAGAACAGAATTAAGTATCAGACGATGGCTAATGAAGTTGATAAATTTGCAGGGAGGATACAGGGGTTTCTACTCTCGTAACACAATTTCATTGACCCCTAAGAGCGTGAACGATATCCATAAGCGTGGTGGAACCATCCTTGGAACATCACGAGGCGGCCACAATACCTCAAAGATCGTTGACAGCATTCAAGACCGTGGAATCAATCAGGTTTTTTATCATACTTAATCAATGCTATTCGTTGATCAGCAGTTTCTTGTATGCATTTCTTGTGGGTCTAAATATGCATGGACCATAGCTTTATATCTTTCTATGTGACAGGTTTACATAATTGGAGGAGATGGAACCCAGAAAGGGGCATCTGTGATATATGAGGTGATGTAATTTTACAAGATCTTGCCAATCTTTTTTTCCTCTTGGTTAAGGCTTAGGCAGCAATCTTTCAAAACACAAGAAAGGAAATGTCATTTGCTTGTGCAAATTATTCATTGACATTATGGTTATTCATCAAGCAGGAAATTAAAAGACGTGGACTCAAAGTGGTAGTTGCTGGAATCCCCAAAACCATTGATAATGACATTCCGGTAATATTTCTTGGTTACCCTACCTGTTGCTGAGTTATGGGTGTTTTTTTTCTGAGTTTTTCTGTTTAAACCCCACTTTTCTTTGTTCACCCCAAAATTTAAAGAGATTTTCTATTTAAATCCCAAGAGATTTTCTATTTAAACCCCACACTTCTCTTAGTTCACCTCATGTTCTAAGTTCACCCCAACTTTTAATTTAAATTTTCACAATTTCTAAGAAAACCCCACTATCTTCCCAACATACCCTTAAATACACCCCAAACTGAAAAAATAAGAACTAAAAGATATTTTCTATTCAAACCCTACAATTTTCTTTGTTCCCAACAAAAAAAAACACAAACAAATGAAACCCCAAATCTGAAATTTAATATTTCCTAGAGAAAGAAAACAACTTTACCTTTCTCCAAGAACTGTAACTGGAATTCTAACACTTGGGTATTGTTGAGTTGAGAGAGAGAGAGAGAGAGAGAGTTTGAAAACAGGAAGTTGGAAGGAGGTTTTTAAAACTTATTATAAAGAGTGGTGGGGTGTGTGGAGGTGTGTGTATAGATGTACTAGGGTTAATTATTAAGTTGGATGACCTTTTTTGTCTTTTTACACAATAATAAAACTTACAGCTTAATGATTTAAGTATTGGGGTGAACAAAGAGAAGTGCGGGGTTTAAATAGAAAATCTCAACTTAAATCATTAAGCTTTTAAGTTTTATTATCGTATAAAAAGACATAAAAGATCATCCAACTTCAGAGGTTGATGAGTTTTTTTTTTAAATTTTGTCTGCTGGGTTATTTAGGGGTAGTTTGGGAAGATAGTGGGATTTTCTTAAAAATTGTGAAAATTTGAATTATAAGTTGGGGTGAACTTAGAATATGGGTTGAACAAAGAGAAGTGCGGAGTTTAAATAGAAAAACTCTTTTTTCTTCTCAGAAATTACAAAATTGTTCAATGCTGTCTCTTGTTGATACAGGTTATTGACAGGTCCTTTGGCTTTGACACTGCCGTGGAGGAGGCTCAACGAGCAATTAACGCGGCCCATGTTGAATCTGAAAGCGTTGAGAATGGAATTGGCGTTGTGAAGCTGATGGGCCGGTATAGCGGTAAGCTTCCTGCTTGCTCATGACATCTTCCATTTTAGAAACTCCTTCAGAATGTCCTGAGAAGTCTTCCTAGCTTCCTGCTTTACTTGTTAAGTGCATGTTCTCACCACTTAAACTGGATGCTGTGATGCAGGGTTCATTGCTATGTATGCAACTCTTGCAAGCCGAGATGTAGATTGTTGCTTAATTCCAGAATCACCTTTTTATCTGGAAGGTCCTGGTGGACTTTTCGAATACATAGAGAAACGACTCAAAGAAAATGGGCACATGGTTATTGTCATCGCTGAAGGTGCTGGGCAGGAGCTTCTTTCTGAGATCATGCATTCTATGGCCAAACAGGATGCTTCAGGAAACAAGCTTCTCCAAGATGTTGGCCTATGGATTTCCCAAAAGATCAAGGTCTAGTTTCTGATATGCATATTCTCACCCATCAGAAGTCAGTAAATAAGATTTGCACACAGTTTCATTGATATATCTCTTGTTTTCTGCAGGATCATTTTTCAAAAAGGCACAAAATGACCATAAACCTCAAATATATAGGTTGGTAGACAAACATGCAGAAAAAATTCTTATACACTATACTCTAAACAAAAGTGGGAAGGACTAGTTCTAGATCAATCAAGCCTTGCTCTTCATTGTTTGCAGATCCTACGTATATGATTCGAGCTGTTCCGAGCAATGCCTCTGATAATGTGTACTGCACACTCCTTGCTCAAAGTGCTGTCCATGGAGCAATGGCAGGTTACACAGGATTTACAGTCGGGCCTGTCAATGGGAGACATTCTTATATACCTTTCCATGTGAGTGCCTCAAATGATGCACAAAATTAGTGTATCTTTTGGTTGTTCATAGATATAACATGAAGTAATTGTTGGCTTTGCAGAGAATCATTGAGCAGCAGAACAAGGTTGTGATAACTGACAGAATGTGGGCTCGGCTCCTATCTTCCACAAACCAGCCAAGTTTTTTGCGTGCTAAAGACGTCATTGAGGACAAGAAAGAAGAACTGCCAAGCCAGTTGTCGGATCATCAAAATGGTTTAAAAGACAATTTGGTGAAGAAGGAAATCAGTTATGCCCTGTAATTGAGATTAGTACTATACTGATCTTAAGTTGTTTTATTCAAAAGAGAGAGGACGAGAGTCGAACTCTTATTGTAAGTTTTTTTTTTTTTTTGGGTTCTGAGTTGGGATGTAGGGATGGAATGTTCCAAACACCTGAGTTTGAAGGCATCACAAATTCAGAAAAATAACACAATTTCCATGTTTCCATAATTTATGTCTAAACATGTGATTATGTGATGGTAAAACGGCCAGTCTTCAATTTTCGTCAATTAGAGGTTTGAATCTTGTATTTCATTATATTGAGCTTCCAGAATTTTTTTAACTATGGTGCTAAATGGTTCAATAGGTAGGTAGGTTGCACAAAACGATTACTATTAAAAAAAAAAAAAAAAAAATTATTGAATACAAAGTGATAGTTTAAACTACAAGAGTTAGGAAGCTTCTCACACATGCCACTAAAATGCAATGGGGGTTCGAACTAGAGATCATTAATTTACAAGTTAAAGTCATTTTTTATTGAGTTAGACCCCATTGACGCTATTTTTAATTTTAAGTTCCTTCCTTTTTTCTTTTTTCTTTTTCCTTTTATAAATTTAACATATGCACATACCCCAAAAAAAAATGGATTTTAACATATAACACTACACAACTACACACACATACCCACAAAAATATATTCGAGGAAAAATTTAGTACATATATTGTATCTAGAAAAAGGAACCTGGTAAAACTGGTGCAGACAAACAGATCCTTGAGGCTTGAGCTTCATAAAACTAGACATCTGATCTGAGTCTGAGAAATTGAGTTGTGTTGAGAGGGAAGGATGGGGATCAGATTCATATTGATGGTGAACAAGCAGGGGCAGACTCGTCTTGCCCAATACTACGAATATCTCACTCTCGAAGAAAGGCGAGCTCTTGAAGCTGAGATCGTCCGCAAATGCCTCGCCCGCACCGAGCAACAGGTCTCTGCTTCGTCCTCAGCTTTTGCTTCGTTGATTTCTATGCCTGCTTATCTGTATTTTCTAAAAGATTACGAATTTGGCTCCAAATCTAATTATCGGAACCAAAAGCTCCGATTTTTTTTTAGTGCTTTGAATCGTGCATTTATGAAATATGAAATTACCAATGCCCAATTGTTCAATTCTGGGTTTACACGTCTTTGGTGAGATCTCAGTACCCAGGTTGCTAATTTAGATCCAAAACTGAATTGAGTTACTTCTGTTGGCTATATGATATAAGAATTAAAAGTTTTTAAATTTTTATTGGGTGTCTCAGATATCTACTTCCTGAAACTGTGGTTGCATTAAGGGAAATAGGATGTCCTGGTAGAGTCACTTAGATCGAATTTTCAATTCCTTGATAAATTTGATGATTTAAAGTTAAGAATAGGTGGGTTCTGCCACTGAATTGTTTCTCCTCTCATTTACTCCAACTTTATGAATATCAAACGCTTGTTACGATACCCATGTTTTGCATTATGATTTATGAAACATGAAACATGAAATTTTGTG